AAAAAAAAAAAGAGTAGTTAAGATTTTGTCTTCCAGCTGATTGCCACCCACCTCGTGCTTGCCAAGTCTATGAAGACAGCCTGGGCACATTGGGTTTATTGTCCTGTAGAAAATGGAGTCCCTGGGATTCTGGCATTTACTCCCATTGAGGATAAATCATTGCTGTCAATCGATCCAGCTCCTTACATGGGTGCCTGATTGGTTTTCATGGCAAACAGTGCAAGAAGGAGTTCAAGGAGAAATGACAAAATGAAGAGTGTGTGTCGGCCCGGGTCCCCTCTGTCCAGGCAAAAGGATGAAACTCATTAACGCATCAAAGAAAAAGTCCGGCTCTGTGTAGTTGCCTGGTTTATCAGTCAGAACCCAGAAGATGAATGAGTTGGGTGCGTAAACGGCGAGATTGTGAAAGTGACAGGCCAGTACCTATCAGTGCACCAGAAACCAAGTCAGACAGCAAGGGGTTCTCTGGTGAGGGGACTCAGACAGCATGTGGAGGCTGCTCTCGGCGCCCTGCTCCACATCATGACACGGGGGCTCATCAGTTCAGAAGGCATGAGGAAGCCTGGATTCAAACTCTGGGCCTCCCACTGCAAGGGGGTGAAAATGAGGTTTTTTCTTAGCTTTCAAAATCTCAGCGTCCTCAACTGTAAAGTGAGGCTGATAGTGGTATGCAGTGCGTGGTGTTTGAGGATCCCTTGTGGTCACACATGTGACAGCTTCTCACGGGGTCTGCTACTTAGTAGTGTAGAATCAGGGGTGTCCAGCCTTTTTTTCTTCTGTGTGAGACACTGGAAGAAAAAGAGTTTTCTAGGGCCACAAAATAAATAAACACTTAAGAAAGCTAAAACTAAAAAAAAGGAAAAAACAGGCCCGCACATACTTTTCATGATATCTGACATCACAGATAAGCAAAAAAGTCCTCACAAAATCAGCACAGGTCTTCGGGCCATAGGTTGGAAACCCCTGGTCTAGATGGTCAGGATTAAAAAGACCAGGCTGACTTTTCTTCCTCCCACACCTAAGCCAAGATATTTTAGAACTGAATGAGGGTATACATTCACACCCCAGGGCTCACATTCCAGAATTCTCATCACAACCTTAAGAACCTCAGACACTGGGCTGCACCCAGAGGCCAGGGCTGCAGGAGGAAGGCTGCCTCCTGGTGCACTGTGTACTGACACCAGACCAACATTTCCAAAGGAATCTTTCCAGAAGGTTGTTGGTATAAAGCCCCCCAAATTTAACCAATGTTGAAGATCCATAAAAAAACAACACTCAAGGCTCC